GGTGTGGACACCAGTTCGACATCGTGGGCTTTCGGAGAAGCTATTGCGACGCTACTTTGGCCCTTAAGAAGTTGTGCGCTGCCTCAGTGACGTGAATTACGAGGTAGTTCCTCAAAGCTCGGATACCAGTTTAAACCGAAGACGTCCACGTCCAGAAGTAGTCCATGTACTACGGATGAAACCGTACCACGCCCGCGAGTTATGAACTGTTCCAACTTTTTTTATTATCCACAACAGTGCGGGCTTATGTGTTTTGTTTTTTTGTTGACGTGGCCATCTTTTTTTGTGACCATCTCTAGCATCTTAGTCAATCGACCGGGACGGTCGCTCTTGAAAGGGGGGAATTGACGCAAGGTAGGCTGGCAACTATAGTGGCCAACCTCTGAGGATAACGAACTAGTTCTGTGGGCGCGTGCTCTGGTGTTCGTGCTTTTGGCCTTCGGTCACGAAAGTAAACACCCTGCTTTTGTGCCTGCGTCCCTGTGCCTTTGTGACAATAGTGCACTTCAAGTTGTAAAAAACTGTGTCTACTTAGGGCAGGTAATAACCACACAGCCGAACCACGAGATTGAAGTAACTAGAAGAATAAGAATGGGGTGGGGCAGATTTGGCAAGCACCCTCAAATTATGACAGGTATATTTCCACTATCCCTCGAGAGGAAGGTATATAACAGCGGTATCTTGCCGGTACTTAGCTACAGAGGAGAAACCTGGAGACTTACAAAGAGGGTTCAGCTTAAATTGAAGACGACGCAGCGAGCAATGGAAAGAAAAAATGGTATGTGTAACCTTAAGAGACAAGAAGAGTGCAGAGTGCATTAGGGAACAAATGGGGGTTAAGGATATCATAGTTGAAATCAAGAAGAGGAAACGGACTTGGGCCGGGCATGTAGCGCGTAGACAGGATAACCGCTGGTCATTAAGGGTAACTAACTGGATTCCCAGAGAAGGCAAGTGGGTTAGGGGGAGACGGAAGGTTAGGTGGGCAGATGAGATCAAGAAGCTTGTGGGTATAACTTGGCAGCAGCAAGCACAGGACCGAGTTAACTGGCAGACATGGGAGGGGCCTTTGTCCTGCAGTGAACGTAGTCAGACTGACGATGATAATGATGATTATTGTTTCTCGTTTTGAAAAAAAAAAATGGGTTTACATCAGTGGCGTAGCCAAAGAGGGACGGGTTTGGGGTGTTCAACCTCCCCCCCCCCCAAATTGTTCGTCCAACACCCCCCTGCCACTTACTCAACTTATTTTTTTTAATTAATTTATTTAGAATATCCTCAAGGCCAATGGCATTACAGAGGGGGTGGGGCAAACAGAGGGATGGGGGGAACTAAGAAATGCGAAGCATTTCTTAGCGAATTTCAGCGACTTTGAGCGTATCTATCTATCTATCTATCTATCTATCTATCTATCTATCTATCTATCTATCTATCTATCTATCTATCTATCTATCTATCTATCTATCTATCTATCTATCTATCTATCTATCTATCTATCTATCTATCTAGCCGCTAGCGTTTGGGGCCCTGCCACGGTGGTCTAGTGGCTAAGGTGCTCGGCTGCTGACCCGCAAGTCACGGGATCAAATCCCGGCTGCGGCGGCTGCATTTCCGATGGAGGTGGAAATGTTGTAGGCCCGTGTGCTCAGATTTTGGTGCACGTTAAAGAACTCCAGGTGGTCGAAATTTCCGGAGTCCTCCACTACGGCGTCTCTCATAATCATATGGTGGTTTTCGGACGTTAAACCCCGCATATCAAATAATCAAGCTTGCGTTTGGGTGCTCTCGTGGTCACCCCCTTAACTTGGTGTGAACCAAAATTAGCATGGGAAGGTAAGATGGTTTGACAATTATGACGCGCTGGTCAAGACATGAATAATGTCACAAAGCCGTCGCGTAGGTCGTCAAACACTTCCCACCAGACAGTGTAATTTCGTGCCCCTTCCCTCATCCAAGGATCTGGGGAAACGAGACTGTTCACAATCAGCCCTCGCGGGCTGCTTCCTGCGCTTTTAGATGTAGAGTTTTGGAGAGACCTTTTCGACTCGAGTTTTTCAAGATGAAACCCTCTTCTATGCAATCTATGTAAACAGACCTCGGTAAAAATCTCCCGGATAATGCGCCTTCCTCCCAGCAAGATGGGCTAAGAGGGTCCGGTGGCGGCGGCCAGCTACCTACAACGAGATCCGCCGGACCCGAGCCGCGACCAATGTTGGCCGTGGTGGGATGCATGCCGTCGAGCACCAGTCCTGACAACTGGATGGCAGCGGTATATCAGACGGATCCTCTGAAAGCGGATAGAGGCCACTTGATATGACTTGCCTACATATGGTAGGAACTAGTTTATCAGACTGGAAGGCAACGTTGAAGCTCGCTACCCGGATGACCTTAGACCGAAGGAAGGTTCCTCATGGCACTGCTGACAGCTCCCGAAGGAACACGCCTGAATCCGTGACTGCATATGGTAAGTACAATGATTTTCTTCGCTAGAATATTACCAGGCGTTGTGAAGCAGTAATTATGGTACTATTGGCGGAAGTAGGTATAGTACGTCAAAGTTGTTGAAGTAGCGAAGAGTTAGCAGCACTGGGGGCAGCCATGAATTTGAAGGCACTAAAGAAGCCGGAACTGTTAGTTGGCCCGAGAGTGGGGTCTCCGAATTGCCGACTCGAAAGGAAAGCCAGACCTTATTGAGGTGATAGAGGCAGTCGGGGCAGATGATGATGATCTCTAAGAATGTATAGAGTACATTAAGCTTTAAAAAGAGGACAAGAAGCGCAAGCGGGAAAGAGAGGAAAGATCGCGCAGGGAGAATATGGAAGCTCGACATAAACATAAAGAATGTAGGAAGGAAATGCAGGCATTAGACGAAGGACTAGAAAGGCTGCATCGTGAGCGGGAGGTACTGCAGCAAAGAAGCCAGACATCTGTAGATGTAGCGCGTGAATGGTACGATGTAGCGGCGGTGCCGTTTAAGGCCCAAGGGAAGGCTAGTGCTTGTGAGGGTTTGGTAAACGTCCTAACCTGGTGCGAGGAAAAAGAGCTCGTGGTCAAATCAGGGTGTGAGGGTTCCGTAGTGGTGGAAATGGAGTGTTCCATAAGAATTGAACCTTGCAGCCCTATAGACGATGTGCATGAGCGTCAGAGGCGGGCGAATAGCTCCAAAGTTTGCGCCAATGGGCGTGTCAAATAGAGAAAGCGTCCGAAAGACCGAAGCGTGGCAAGGCTCGCGATCAGCACGACGGGTTTAACGAAGGGCTTCAAACGGCGTGGCGAAATCACGAGAAAAGTGTCGTTGTCACCTTTGACGGCTTGGTGTAGCAAGCTTTCAAGCGGCCGGAGAGTAGAGAAAAGCAAAGCGCAATCTACGCGACAGCGGTCGAACGATGAACTGATGGGGAATCATCAAGACTGTGCGCGCGAGTCAACGGAGGAGCATATTGATGATGAGGAACGTCAGAGGGGGACGAAAGGCTCCCAAGTCCGCACAAAGAAGTGTACACGAAGGAGAAGGCGTCCGAAGGGCAAGAATGAGGCAAAACTCGCGATCAGCCCAACGCCTGTGAGTAAGGGCTTCAAACGGTGGAGCGAAATCGCCAGAAAGTGCCATTGTCTTCTCTGACGGCTCTGTATCGTATGCGTCTAAACCGCGACGACATAAAAGCACATCGTACGCAGCAGTGGTCGAATGATGAATCGCTACGCAACCATCAAGACAGTACGCGCGAAAAGGCTAACGAACATATTGGTGCTGATGAGAATCACACGTGGGAAAAAGGCTCCAAAAACAGCGCCAAGAAGCGTGCCAAACGTAGAAAGCGTCGTTAAGACGAGGCAAAAATCGCAACGCGTTTGAGGAATGTGTTCAAACGGTGGAGCGAAATGGCGAGAAAGATGCCGTATTGCATGCGTCCGAGTGGCCGCGCAGAGCATAGGAAAGAGAAGTGCATTGTGCGTTTAAGTGGTCGCACAACAGGAGACTCTTTCATTGTTCTCGCGGCGCGCTGGACAGGATGCGGAACCCAAAGGTCGGTGGTTTTAGCGAAGTCGAGAAAGACGCAAATAATGAAAATTTTGGGCCGCAGTTGGCATCGAACCCAGGTCGTGCGCGTGGCAAGCGGGTGTTCTACAGTGAAGATAACTTCGTCTGCTTGTATATGCAATTAAAGTAACGAGCCTAACAAACACACGCGTCTTGTATACATACCTCACAATGCAACATGAAATATTGCAGTAGTAATGTGTGGTGCAAGCATACATATTATCATAATTACTTCATATTTTAGAACCAGTCACCCCCTACAAGAGGCGCATACGCTACTGCATTCTTATGGCTACGTAATGGGTGCATAGCAAGTGTGAAGAGATTTCAAACACTAAGTACGCACTAGGTACAGAACATCGCCATCGCCTTCAACTCTTAAAGGTGAAGCTTATGGGCCCAATTTTTTTTCCTAACGGATGGCTACATGTCCACTCCATATCTTCGGCACCTAACTTCAAACACGATAAATGCGCACGGGTGGTCATATAAAGCTTCCGATATTCAAGTACATTCGCTTAACCGCGCGGCACATTTTCAGTCTGGCTGGCTACAAGCTGGTGGCGGGATTTCTTGAGTGGTTCATGCGTTTTTTTTTTTTTTTTGGATGCACAGAGATGTGCTTATAGATACTCGGACGTGAGTAATAGAGGTTCTTTAGGTTGATCGCATCTCGGGCTCGCCGTCGAGGGCGGAACCCCGAGGAGGGGCCTGTAGAGCCCACTTTGAGAAACCATGCTCTAGAAAATTTACACGACACATTGGGTAAAAGCGCAGAAGACGAGGAAAGAGAAGAGACCTTATACACACGAGACTCTTTCCTGTTCTCCTTTCTGCGATTTTACCCAGTGCCATGTTTTTCCAACTAGCCCAGACTGTTACCTTGTAGCTAACACGTGCGACGTGTGAATAAGTGGACTGCGAGAGCCTTCGATTCTTCCTGGGGAAAAAATGGAGGAGCAGTGTGAATTTATTTTCACGCAATGGGTGAAAAGTGCAGGAGTTCCGTAGCCTGGATGATGCTCTCGGTGATGAGCGCCACCATGTGACCAAAGGCGTCCGGGTTGATGGGCCGCTGCCGGATGAGGTCCTGGAGGCCGGGGAATGGAAGCCCTTCTGGCGAGAACAGCAGGTTCCTGTAGCCAACGTTCATTGTATTTCAAGGAGCGTACAAGGAGGTGAAAATAAAGACACATGCTTGATCAGAAGAAAATGCCCGTGAACGACAAAAAGAAAGAAAGGCATGCAAGGCACTGGAGCTGACCACTCCATCATTGGCTCCTCGTAATTGTGAACTGCCGACTATCACAGCTGCATTCATGAACTTGGTCTGACACTACGGAGCGCGGAACGTGCGCGTTTTCCTACCGGTTCTTTCATCGCTCACTTTCCAGAAGAGACTAAGACGCACTGCAAGGTCAGTGTGCCGTCGCCATTTCATATTACTGCCCACCTTCAGAATCTTCCAGATGGTTTCGTCGTATAGCTGCAAACCACGGTGCTTTGTGAAACGCCATTCTGCTGCAACGAATACGACGTGAAAGCTCTGAAAAGTGAGCTATGAAGAACATAGCTTGATGGGGGGGGGGGGAGAACATAAAGCTCTGCATAGGCACACACTAGGACAGCATTCATACATCAATAGAGCATCGACAACTCAGAAAAGCACGACGTCCTGTCAAAAGCAGACTTTAGACTCCCAGTTGTGCGGTGTCATCTACGAGCGCTAGTCATGCGCCAGATCGCTGCCTATTTAGTAAAATAAGAAACTGAGCGAGTTCGTACAGATTCATTGTGGCGTTGTTGTTTTTTATATAAATAAGAAGGGCTCTCAATGTGTTAGCTAGTCATTCATAGCATTACTGGATAAAAATGTTCCATATTAGATAGTGGACGGGGATCATTTGTGATCTTGTGACGGGTTTCTTGGTTACGTTTGAACTTGCTTGTTTAAATTTAAATTTTTGCCATATTCGTCCACTTGACAATGCCTTCGTGCGCAGTGTCATATTTTGGTCAAATGCAAAGGCCGGGTCAGTCACAACGTGTCCTGTTCGTATGCTAATATATATGTTACCTCTTTTTCAATAAAAATTCGCTTGAAAGTCAATGCTGTGCCGTGCGCTGCTAGCCCACAATGTTGCTGCTCATATATACCTTGCTCAGAGAGATTATCAATAGTATTTTACAACAGCATTCTTCAATAAAAGGCCTCTCGATACGAGGCTGCGGAGCAGCAGCCGCAGCCGCACCTAGCGACATATGATGCATGCATGTATACTTACTTGTGCGTGATGTGCCGAGTCGGGATACCATAAGGTGTGATGAAAACTTTCGGGAGCCGGATAACAATGTCGTTGTAGATGCGTGCGTACATGGGGCTGCAAATAGAGTGACCAGGTTAGGAGGCAAGGAAAGGGCTGTACATTGAATAAGCAAGCTGTCTGATACTATCGATTACTTCAAGACCTAGACTACTTTACAGATGAGTTTCAAGCCGTCATATTGCGTTGTTAACCTTGCCGTTCTGTATCTTTTAACAGCTAAGAGAACAGCGCTTCAGCATGAGAACAGTTGGGCTGGTGCAATCAACGTTTTATGACCTTGATTCGCTAATTGGGTATTTCACATATAGTATTCACATATATACCCAATAAAATGGCTGGGAGGATAGCCGCCGTGGTAGCTCAGCGGTAGAGCATCAAACGCGTCATTCGAAGGTCGCAGGTTCGGTTCCTTCCCACGGCAAGTTATCTTTTGACTCACTTTTCTTTATTCACATATGCATTACAATTCGGTCTAATACCTTCCCCTATACTTTCTTTGGCAGTACTGTCTGCGCTCTCTCTCTCTCTCTCTCTCTCTCTCTCTCTCTCTATATATATTATATATATATATATATATATATATATATATATATATATATATATATATATTATATAGAGAGAGAGAGAGAGAGAGAGAGAGAGAGAGAGTGATACTTCAGTAAGGTATTTGCTAAGTAGAATGGCAACCTTGTGCACATCGTGCCTACAAAACATGATGCAGCCGCATGTGCTCATGCTTAAGGTAAAGATGCGTTCATAGCGGAAGCAGAGCGGCGCTTTTTAAGCTGCTCAAATAGTGTGCCTCAATGCGTGGGCCCCCATTAAGATACCGTACTCTCAGTAAATATGTCTCATGAGTCGTATTGGTTGTTATATTGTGGCAACAACGTTATAACGAATATGTATATACTTTTGAATTTCAATCAGATGTTCTCATTATTGTACGTACGCGCTGGTTGCCCAGCCCCCTTTAACAACATTTGCTAACCTTATAACACTCTAGCAATTACGAAATTGCTGGAAAGTGGATTGTCGATTGGTGAACGAATATAACGAGTTTTATTTGTTTTTATCAATTGTTAACATAATTTTGAATGCACTTTATTATTTATGTGAGGATGAAAAATACAAGGAGCTTGAGATGCTAAAACAACCTTGTCTATTGCTAGTAGTTGAACAAAGCTTGCAGCGCAGCAACAGCTGGCCATGAAACTTGCAACAGAATCACATCCAGTAATCCAGTGATCCTGTCACAACTTACCCTGTGTGGAACGTTACGTGTTAAGATGTATACTCACTGATCTTGTCTTATTTTTTGGGTCCAGTTCATGAACTCGCGCGCAGATTCGACAAACTGATACGCGGCTTGCTGGATAGGTGCTGCAAGAAAATAGCTAGAGTTACTTTTCGCTGAGTTAACGGTTGACATACGACATTTGAGAAAACTTTTCGTCACACGAGCACGAGAAATGGCACGAGAAATGGCACGGCTGGGCCAATTTGGCAGTGCATTTTCGTCATAATAAACATGTGGTATAAATAGGGTTGGATATAGAGAAAACACACTCCTGGACAAGTTCGGGTACAATCAGGGGACGTCGGTTCAGTGCTCTCCACAAAATTATTCGCTTATAGGTAACGAGGAAAATAGTGCAATATCGACCATAGCCGTAGGCAAGCGAGAAATCTGAGCACCCACCCAGCCTCAGCTGTTCTTTATCGATTAGCGCTTTGTGGTAGTTCGTGAAGTCATTGGCACGGAAGCTGATCCACTCGGCCATTTCGAGCACATCCATCGGCAGGAATGTGCGGTCGGCCCAAAGGCGAGCCAGCAGTGCCGACGCCTGCGCCTGCATGCGACTGCTGCGAAACCTTGGGTCCACCAACCGTTCCACCAGCATGTACGAGTCGTAGGCTGTTCCCTGGGCCGGGTACAAGGTGTCCGCCGAATGCCGGTGCTGCACAATAGTTATTCCGATGGACTAGTGAGAACATTAGTCTGCGGGGTAACATATCTCTTTGATGTTGGCCCAGCACTGAAGGATAAAGGTCGTGGTGTGCAGTACATGGCTTGCGCTCATCAGCGAGATGAGGTCGGCGTTGTAACTACTTGACCGTGCGATCTGCTCAACTTGCAGTTTTGTAGGTGCAGCACGATGAAAAGAAAACGTTGTATGGTGCTATAATCTCCTTTGCTGTACTATCGTTAGGGATTTTGTTTTTTCAACGACCGTCTGTTACGGTATACCACCAATGGTGTTAAGAAAATGCGGTGCTTGTGCATATCTTCTGCCAAACACGGTGGAATTGTGCCGCGCGCAAATCAAAAGACGACAGGGTCTGTCCAACGGCTCGCAACTGTGTCATATGTCACAGAAAAGTTGCAGGTGTCTATAATTGGTCGAGATTTTCTACGGCGTCGTGCTCACGCCCACGGAAGTAAAGATGAGCGTGTGACCATCTTGGACCAACCCGCGTTGGATGTGAAGCATTGTTCAAGCGCTCCGCCAATAATAATAATAATAATAATAATAATAATAATAATAATAATAACGGTGATATACTGTAGAATACCGCAAGTAACTTCACAGACGACATCGATACTGTAACGGTAGTGGTCTATAGACTTGCCGCAAAGTGGAAGAAGACCGATGGAACTCCAGCTCCGAATGTAAACGCCGCTTCATCCGCAAGTCCCATTGGTGGCAGTGCTCTGTGAAAAGAAAAGAAAGAGGGATTCGTATATATGTATTTATTATTAATGAAAGCATTCGATACTGGCCACGGTGACCACGTTTTCGATAGGCGTGATGATGCTAGAGGTCCGTTTACGCAGATTTGGGTGCCGTTAAAGAATCCCAGGTGATCAAAGTTTTAGGGAGCCCTCTAATATGGCGCCACTCGTAATATTATTATGGTTTCGGCTCGCAAAACGCTACCAATTATAAATTAAGAATGAAAGACTAAAGGTACAGATAGTATACGGTAACCTCGGCCCATAGAAAAAGAATAAATTAAGTTCTTGAGTTTCAGACCCTAGACCTACTAAAGGATTGTGAGGCTTTCTGTAATGTGGGGAGGGGGGGGGGGCTAAGTATTTTGTTTGAAGCACGTACTTAAATTCGACCACAAGGGTGTTACTGCATTTCACCCTCATCGAAATGAGGCCGCTACAACAGGGAAGCGAAACCACACGTACCTGTGTACTGAGCAGCCCAACGCCATGGCCGCTACCATCAAATGCAGTAGTTGGCAGGCTTAAAAAATAAAAGCCTTAAAAGAGAACCGGCAACGCTTTTTTTCAAGTAACCGTCGAATGTCCTCAATAAGAGAGCTTATAGCCTCACGAGTCGACTGCCCATCAAGTATACGAGCGCAGTTACAATGATTACTCGCACGCTTGAAGCGCATTCTCTGTTGCTCCGTACCAGAGATCACACTGAAAGCTAGATATGCGCAGGGAGGGGGATAACAAGAAGATGCCTCCTTTCGTCAGCGCGTCATTACTTTGAACACTTTTCCTTTGTGCTTCAAACTCATGGCTTACTATCAGTGTGGCCGTGAGAGTGCGGGCGAGCACGTGGTGACATACCGCGGTGGCCACGGCAACTATGCAGCTTCTTACACTCAAATCAGCCACCAGCCGCGGACTTTGCGTACACACCGCAGTAGTTAGAATATACAGCATCAATTGTAGAGAAAATAAGGAGCACTTTGTAGCATTTCTAGAATATTTTGATAATAGTTAATGCTGCACGATAATGTATGGCACATGTGTTCTCAGGAACATCAGTTGAGGGGGTGGGGGGCAGCGCTTCTGGACGATACATAAAAAGTGTTGCAGGGTCCCTTTAATTGCCTCAGACTGTAAAGCAATCAATCAAGCATTGAGTACACATCAATTGTATATTCAGTGTTAATGCGACGTTCCCCACTGTAACATATATCTCAGATCAAGACTTTTTTTTTTTACAGTCATAGAACAAGACGAATGGCGTGGACCAGACATTGCGTATAATGCAGAAACATTCTAAAGTTTCAATCTAGAGAGATCATCGTAGTTTCGAAGTGGAGTTACGAGAAAATCGGCACTTACCGAGGAAATAACACCTGTCTGTTTTACCGCTTGGTATAGATACTTATGAGCCCAATCATTAAGATTTCTCTAAAGCACTTGTCACCTTTTTAATGCGTTTGTTTCAGCCACCATTTGAAGTACAACTTGCCAGTCTACAGATAAGATGTATAATGCGCTCTTGGTGCATTCTTTTTCGTCCGTTTTTGGGCTGCGAAGCCAGTACTCACTCTCCCGATCCTCAATATTTTATTAAGGATGGGATCACATCATGCCCGGAGTGGTGTTCAATAGTTCAAGAAAGGTTACGTTTCTTCATTCTGTCGTTTGCATTTGCGAGTTCATGTCGGGGTCCCAGCAATGGCATGTCCCGTATGACAGCTCGTCACGTGCACATACATTGCCGATATAGAAGCCTTCGCTTATGGCTGCGTGCGTTGATGAATTGCGGCTCTTTTCCTGGACTCAAACAAGGCGCCGAACACCTACCAAGATGATTAGAACTTGGGGCGAGTGCACGATATATGTCTTAGCAGATATTTCGTTTTCCGAACTGAATCGCTGTCTTCTAGTGTGAGCAAAGCTGCGAGCCATGAAACCTACATCCACAGTAGCTACATTGGCTTCAGGTATTTGTTTTAATTTCTTTCGTGATTTTACGTCAATGTACCTTCCTTTTACTACCTCCGCAGCTAAGCGCCAAATGATTATTGCATGCGCTAAGTAGTGAATTATAATAATTAGGGTCAACAAGAACATCAGTCCAACATGGACAGTCAACCGAAACGTAGATATGTAGAAGTTTAGTTATAAGGCTACTAATGTGCTGCCGCTAAAGGATGGTGCCCTAACTATGGAGATCGTCGCGGATATCTGCATGTTCTAATTAGATGAATAGCTACATTAAAAAAGCCTATCAAAACACAGGAACCGCCAAGTGTATTCGCCTATTTTGTATTGCAAGAGAATCTATTATTCTTCATATGTCTCTAAAAACGTGTGAGAAGCTCAAACCTCGGAAACTTCACCAATGGCATATCTTCTCATCACGCAATCGCCATGGTGATATATTTGATAGTATAAAAAATTGTGTGTAACAACGAACAAAAGACAGCTTACACAGCCAAGTTCGCTGATGCTCCTTTGTCGTGCTCCCATTCACCCAACAGCGTCATTGTGTCATTGGATCTCACCTGTGGAAATGAACGGTTCGGCAATGACTCAGTTCCATGCCAGGTCAACAGTTGAAACAGTGAAGCACAAGCGGCACAGCGAGTGACTTGAGGAGAAGGAGAGCTTTATAAGGACTACACATACTAGATACAGATTCACTTGAAATTGAGCTAATCACACATTGTATGGAACCACATGGCGACAGTGGCAGCGAAAATTCACCTGGAATGTTCATATAACGTTTTAATTCAATGTCCTAGAGCAAATTAACGCTCTATGAGAGACACAGTAAGGGCAAGTTGGGGCTTTGGAATTCGGATCAACTGGTCACGCCATCAATGCAAGCAATTATATAGAAACTACGGGCACGCCAGCGGTCTTTTGTCGCTCGAAAGGCCCATAGCAGGAGAAGATGGGGCGGAAGGGCAATGCGACGCCCTTTGCTCAGCCGGGCGTGGGCTTATTATCTTTACAGTAATCAGCAGAAGGCTTTATCTTTGTACATGGTTGTCTCACCATTATGTTTGCGATAAGTGAAAGCACGAAGGTCATCCGTCACTTTGCTCGCTGCAGCGATCGTGTTTTCCTATGGAGGTGTTTCGTTCGGTTAAGCAAGGTTGGATGCTACAGGAGTTAGCCTGTAGCCTTACCTTATTAACATTTCAATTCGTTGCTATCACATTCACTGCTTCGTATTTGACTGACGTTTTGTACCAAGTATGGACAGTTTCTGAGTTACACCCGAGAAGAAAACTGTGCGTTGAGTCACTGCCATCCATGCGTACCAGTTTGAGGAATACGTGAGGTTTTCAGCCGTGTATAGCGCTCCCACTAATCGCGGTCAAGTTCAATAAGCTTAGTTGCATTCTTCGCATCGGTCCCTTTTTGGTTTCTTGGCATTATTTTTCCTTATGCACTCCGTTGCTCGGCCGGCTGCTATCATTTCCCCACAAAGAAACCCCATACCTCAGTCTTACCTCACGTGTCGCATGCGGTCTCTAGCCTATAGGGACTCTGCAAACCTGTCTCTCTCAGCTATTTGCAATGCAGCGTGTAGAATATTTTGCTCTTGAACGACGGAGACAAATTCATTCGTGTGGATGTCGAGCGAATGCTGTGTGTGAAAGTTATCCACAGTGAATAACGATAGCTGCAGCGAGTGATAATGGAGTCATATTAGACTGTCGACTCTCATGCTCTCTCTGTTCCTTTGCAGTCATCAAAGCATAGCATATGAATGTGAGCGTGATATTGGCTGGCGTAACCCTGATGGTAATTATTGTGCAAGATCGGTTGTCTATCGACAGAGTAAAGGGATAAGCTCTTGTATAGTCGTCTCTTCTTGTGTGTGCCCACTTGTGGCGCTGGTGTGTTGACGTCAAACCGAGAAGTCGCGACTCGGCATACACTTACCAGGTCGGCAACATGACGCAGCGACCACGAAAGGCCAGGCGTGGCCCGTGGCGCGAACTTGTCTCCTAAAATAAGCAAACATTACGACATTAGAAGCGTCAGTTTCGTCAAAACGAGTTTGTGATCGTAAGTAGCTTGAAAACAAAACTGACATGCTGAATGGTGTCAGCCCAACTAAACAGTGTGCTTCCACTCTAAGCCTAATCTATACCAAGTGAAGAGCCTGAGAAACAGAAGAACCAGAGAACATAAATGTGTATTCTGAATGCCTGGAAAACACGTAGTGTTTTTTTCTGTAACAATTGAATGCTTACAAATCCTAGAGAAAAACAATCACTCGGCTATACTTCACGTTTTTTTTTTTCCAAGAATAAATGTAAGAAACGGTAGCCATATTTTCCCCATACACGGACTGTGAACTGCCATATTTATTGAACATCGGCATGTATATGCACTTTTAAGCAAATTATATTTCTACGTATTTCAATTAACAGCTGACTAAATAGTTCCGAAGCTCAGCATTTCAAGCCTAAGAGATCAACGTTTGCTAGTGCTCCAGGCAGTTGCGAATAAAGCAGTAAACGGAATAATTGGTTTTAGTCATACGGTGAATGAGTTGACCAGCCACGCTTTTATGCACTCGATTCCGACACGTGTGCCTATGCGTCCGATCACGCCAACGTTAGGTATGCGTAACGTTGGCGTGATTCGACGTTGGCGTGAGAGTATACCCGTTTACAAGTATATTCATACGGATTCATGGTGGCGTTAGAAGGACCACCATAGAAGCTCAGTGCTGTTTCGTACTTTGATGGGAAAGTGCTAATACGGACACCTAAATCATACGCCGAAAAAATGTTTGCACTAAAGCTCTTTATAATAACACATGGCCAGCTTCCTAAATAATATCGAAAAACCAAAGTCAGGTGGATTCCCGTAGTCGGAGCTTGCAGCAGTAGTCGAGACTACCCTGAACGTGCTCGTAAAAACAGCGGCAAAAGGAAACAAAGCGCCGATGATGGATTCTTGTGACGCAAGGGCTATATATAAGTGAAAGCCCGAAGGTAATGGTAGGATTTATTACAGCTTAAGGTATCGATGGTAGGGATGTATTACAGCTCTCGAGAGGCCTATAATCAGGCGCTGATTTGAAGCGTAAAATTTATGTATACAGCACCAGAGGCTGTGGAAAAGCATGACAAGCCCCACTACGCAGGGGGGGGGGGGGGGGGGGGTATGATATCCCGCTAAATGGTGGGCAATCTCAAGCAAGGCAATCAAGACGCTGCGTAAACCACTACGCACGGGAACATCGGACGACAATAATAATAATGAAATACCCATCATTACACTCATTGTGCTGCCATAACCTGCAAGCCACAATTCCATTTCACCAAGATACAAAAGAGCAGCATGGGCGCATGTGTATGAGAAGTTTTGCGAGCACTTTTTTTTTTTCAAGAGAAGGGACATCGCTTGCGTAAGTATATAACACGTGTATGTCAATATACGACAAATAAATGTTTTTTTTTTCATTTTTTTCTTGCGTTGAAAGTTGCGTTCTGTCATAACGCGAAGAAAACTGTCTTCTGATTTGAATGCGCCTGCGCAATGGGGATGTATTGTAATGCGATACAACGCCCTGCGTCGCAGCATACAAACCATTTGGAAGTTAATGCTTGATCTTCCTGTTTGTTTTCTTATGTGGTGTTCCGGTTCCCAAGCTCGCGCCTTCGACAAACAGTAAGAATGTGTTGACTGCCTCTCAAGAAAGTCTAATAAAGCTATATGTATATGGCTTTATCGAACTGCACTAGATTAGTCGCATAGTGCCAACCAGCACACAAAACAATTCGATTTCAGGTTGGAGCAGTTATGTAAAGGCGAACTGTACAGAATCAAAAAGTAGGTCCTAGCCACGTTTAAATTCTTGCCGAAGTGAAGGATTGATTGATTGATATGTGGGGTTTAACGTCCCAAAACCACTATATGATTATGAGAGACGCCGTAGTGGAGGGCTCCGGAAATTTAGACCACCTGGGGTTCTTTAACGTGCACCCAAATCTGAGCACACGGGCCTACAACATTTCCGCCTCCATCGGAAGTGCAGCCACCGCAGCCGGGATCCGAACCCGCGCCCTGCGGGTCAGCAGCCGAGTACCTTAGCCACTAGACCACCGCGGCGGGGCCCGAAGTGAAGGAGATGTAGGTAAGTGGTGGAAATGACAAATGACAAAAATAGGGGGGGGGGGGGGGGCTTCACATTACATTTAATATACAGTGACAACACGAGCTAAGTTCTGACTTGACCTGCTGCAAAGGTGGTTGCTTTCCGTGGCGTGCACATTTTCCTACCGCTATTGATCATTCCTGCCGCCTGGCACGTCGCCACACATCTGAAATGCGATACGCACACACGTGAGGACACAACCTGACAGACAACCGTATGACGATATTGTAGTAGGCGTGTATCTATAGCCACCCAATTCAGGGCGTTTTTTCTAACAATCAAAGCTCTGCCATCGCAGGATCGAAGACACTCGAAACAGGGTGTCTACCCAGCCCAGCAATTTCTCATCGGCTATGGTTGGCGTCCTGAAGGGCGACCTACCGCTGAGCAAGCCACCAGTGATGAAGAGAACACCGCTGCCCTGCAGCGCAGTCATGTGCTCCTCGACCCATTCGGTGGAGCCCATGAGGCTTCCCTCTTCGCTGTAGAAGAGCCCGAACATCAGGCTTCGCCGGGGAGTCCAGCGATGGTGTTTGTGCATGTGGCAAAACACCTTGCTCTGCACCAGCATCTCTGTCACCGACAGAAGCGGGTGCGCCGAGCCGCGCGTGTCGTCGTGAGTCTGGCTTCCTATCATCACAAACCGATCTGCGGTGAGAACAAACCAGAGCTCATTGGACACTGCTGTTCCTGCAGGCAGATTAGGTCAGCTAAATATGACTGTGACCGCAGCCTCCATAGGTCGATTTTGCAGTGAGCTTCAATTTCGTGCACGTGCGTTCATTTTTTTACGCTTGGGGTGACGTGCAGCGAGAGACAGACAAGCAGCTACATCGAATGACTACGTGGTTCACGTTGCGCTTTCAATGAATTCTCCAAAAAATGGAAACTCAGGATTTCTACTTGTTCTTACGATGCAGTGTTCATGCGTTAATAAATTCGTTTATATGCTATTAAGGAGTAGTCAAGTGTAAGCACAATAGCTTCTTTTTTCTTTTCTTGCATTTCACCCTTACTGAAATGTCGACACCACGACCAGTGATAAAACCTAATCCGTATAGGACTCAGCAAACCAAACCGCAGTGGCTAAGCCAACATGGAAGTAATGAGGAGGAGTAGATAAAGTGGAGCAGTCTGATTTGCAGCTCATTTATGTTTGTGCCTATCGTGTAGCACACGTGCGTGCACAAAAGGTTGAAGTGACCTTAGGGGTGATGTCAGTTGCGTCACATATCCTTAGCTACGCCGCCATAACCAATAACTAAATATGTTCTTTTTGACCTCACTCTGTTGTCGAAACGGCAGTAACATGACGGTGGTTGCGAATATATAATAAGGTTCGTTGGAACGACCTCACAGCGCTCATCTCGATCTGTACAGATCCACCAGTCGCTCAACTGAAACAATTTTTCCTCTTGGGTTCTGCATAAAGGTATTCAAGCTAAACGCATGTAGGCAATTATAGTCTATCACTCAGCATGATTATCTAGGCGGTGACAAGAGAAAGCAAATCGACCGGTGTAAATAAAAACCAAGCAATTGAAGCCAGTTTTGTGTCTGTGAATATTGAGTAAACATCGGAACTTGCAAGCAAGCGCCACCACCTGGCGAATGCAGATTTAGTTGTTTCTTCGTACTTCATCATCATCTTATATCTTATTCATTTCAAATTTCTTGCTTTCTTTTTTATATTAATTTCTCTCTTTCTTTACCTCCCTAACACTCGCACCGCTCCTCACCCTTACTTATCTTTATCACCTTTTCTCGTACATGGTTACGCCATGCTTTACCCTCACTTCCCCCTCCTCACCCTGACATCAGTTCTCCCCCTCCTCACTTCCATTTTCCATCTCCTAACTAAACGATACTATAAGGCTTCACCTTATCTGCCCCTTTCCTTCCTCAACCGCACTTCTCATCCCCTTGATATGTTATACATGGTTGCTTTAAGCTAGGAGATGCCTGGCACATACCCCGATCTATGTAGTGCATACCGATTGAGTGTTCTGTATAAGACACCTGCCTTACTCTCGGCTTAAACAGCTCCGCTTTTAATAGTCCAACTTCGCGTGTGATTCACCTACCTGGTTCCACTTTGCCTTTGATGATACCGATAACATTGATGATGGGTCGGAAGATCATCTCGTTGTGTACCATCACCTGCAATCTGAATGCGATTTTCTCTATTACAAAGTAGGCCGTCAATTAAACGAATCAGGGTGATATTTTATTCTCTTGGCCAGCTACTTCGAGAAGACAAGTTTTCAAAAACACAGAATTACAGAGCAAAAGAACTGCTGTGCCGTAGACATACAAAAGAGAGAAAGAGAGAGAGAGAGAGCTACCACAATATCACCACCTCCACATGTTTATTTTAAAAGAGCACGACGTTTATTATTCTTACATGCACGTAACAATACTAACGCGTAATCATATTGATGAATTTCGAGTGGCATCAGAATCATGTTTTTGATGATTTACTGACTCGACTTTCAAATTAAATGTCTTTTGTTCTTCCTTCGAAACCAAAATCTGAACATTTCATTCGGTAGCTACAAAATATGCCAGCAGAACAATAATTGATATCGATGTAGGTAGCTGTTCATGGGCTAAAAAATATTCTAGTCATTCCTATTTGCAGATACTATTATCATCATCAGCTTGACTACGTCCACTGCCGGACAAAAGCCTCTCCCATGTTCCGCCAGTCAATTCAATCCTGTGCTTGCTGCTGCCACTTTATACCCGCAAACTGCTTCATATCATCTGTCCACCTAACTTTCTGCCTCCCCCTAACCCACTTGCCTTCTCTGGGAATCCAGTTAGTTACCCTTAATGAACAGCGGTTATCCTGCCTACGCGCTACATGCCCGGTCCATGTCAATCTCATCTTCTTAATTTCAACTGCGATATCCTTAATCGCGGTTTGCTCCCTGATCCCCTCTGCTCTTTTCTTGTCTCTTAAGGTTACACTATCATTTTCCTTTCCATCGCTCGCTGCGTTGTCCTCAATTTAAGCTGCACCCTCTTTGTAAGCCTCTAGGTTTCTGCTCCGTAGGTAATATCATGGTCAGGTAAAAAGATTACATGGGCGTTTTTACTAAATAACATGTATAGTAATTATCAGAACCTGGAAAAGCCATTTTGTATATTTTCACGGTACGAAAGGCATGGATGTGCAAACGCGCTTACACTTTGAACTTGGCGTTTAAAGATGCATATAATAATAAATTTCGCAAGTTGTAGCAGCGTACAGCACCGTTTTGGAAAAATAGCACGAAACGAAGACTAGAGAACACGGCACAAGTGTTTTGGTTTACATGAATATCTGTATTGCGTTCTAACACAAAATTGTACCAGCGTGTACATAAGGCTGCAGCTTCGGATGAGTAGCGCGCCCATGGCAAACTCACTCTATTGCAGACGTAGCGTTGACGAAGCAAGGGATTCCGAGCATGGGATCCCAGCTCTCTGGGCATGGCGTTCCGTCTAGTTCCCTGCGGGCAGAAAGAGAGATGGGCCCACTATGAGCATGACTTTCTGGACGCGACGTGTCCTTCAAACACATCGAATCCGTGCGCAGAGCAACAGACGGCCCCAGCGTGAAAAGATAGGGCATGAAAAAAAAAATAAACGTGGCACTGTTTGCGCTTCGCATTCTCGTTTCCTCGCCGCACTTATCTGACGATATTACTTGCAGTTCGTCACATCGGTACGACTTCGGCTGCAAAAATGCCCGTCAAAGCTCCTTAACGAAATGGGACAACCGTGCACACGGGAGAAGGGAAAAAAAAGGGAGCAGGAATCGTCGCGCAACAAGATGGATTAAAAAAAAAAAGTGGGCCGACACGTGATCTTTACGTCAGAGTAAATGTTCGGTGCAGGCAAAATACGGCAGTGCAGACAGAAACATGATCGGCCATTACGCTGCGTCTCCGAAATCGTGTGTTGGGTCGACACTGAGGTTGCACGGAACGTCCGCTCGCCAAGGCTGGCTGCGAGACGCATTGCCCTCCCCTGGTTTATTTCTTTCTGCACGGCCACACATCGCCACTACAAAGTAACAAAGAGTAAAATTAAAACGTTGTAAGAGTGACGCGCTCTATGCCCTTGAAAAATTCATCGACGCATGAGCGCATGACCAAACCCTCGAACGTGTGCAAACATCAAATCTGGCTTCTACATAATTATGGTTCTTGGAAGGCGAAGCCCACACCATGAACTCGCTTCGTTTTGGTGTAGTTTGTGCTGAACGCACGAGCTAACCCGTAGCAAGCTTACGAAACGAAAATCGTCTTGCTACAGTGGCTATTTCGTTGCATTAGCTAAATTATTGCGCAACTGTGAGCCCCACACACCGGAAAAAAAGAAACAAGTGATCTTGGTAACCCGTCAGTGTAATTGTCAGGCATCCCCCGTTGATCGTTACCTCTAATCTACATCAGTCTGGCATCTTCAACTACTACTTGCAATGACGAAGAGCACAACATTGTATTAACACTGCATAAAACTGTTTTACAATATTTCCTGGTTATATAAGCTGTCTTCACATAAATTATTGCGGTATTCATGTAGTCATGGGTAAAGTGTGAACTGCGTGTGTGAACTGCGTAGTCAGAAGAACAGAACTATGTCTGCGTCACAAACGATTCTACATGGTTATGAGAAAAGCTAACACACATAAAGCTTGACCGAGCTGAACAACCTAGTGTCCCGTGGCGGCAAGGAGCGTGTCCTTTTCATCAAAATCATTCTCCAAGGCGGATTTATGTGGGACCCGCTGTTACTGCCGAGAGCTCAACTCTTAATCGTACGCACAGTGATTCAGCTAACTTTTAGATGCGAAGCACCTCTTTTGACTAGCCTGTGTAACGCTGTTCCTCTCCTCCCCGCAGGTGTTGGAGCTGTGCCAAGTAGCTCACGCCCTCCTTGCACTGCGGGGTGACGTCTCTCTCTCCCTCGCCTGCCACGCGCTCGCCGCGTGTCAGCTCTCTCTCGCTTCACCCTCTCCACTGCTCGCAACGCTCAAGCCTACTCCTCACGTGGGCATTATCGCAGGATTTCAAGCTGGACGGTTGTGCCCTCGCGATCTCCGACTTCAGCGTAGCTCCCGCCGACTGGTTCGCCCTCCGCGGTCTCCTGACGCCGTGTAGCTCTCGCATTGTGGCACCCCGCCCTTGGACTGCTTCGACCGGATCCCCACTTTCCTATCTCCTTCTTTTTCCTCTCGTTGGCTGTCTTCTTCTGCTTCTACTTTCCTTCTATCCTTTTTATCCCTCCTTCACCCCACCCCTATAAGGCACTGCGCCGTGTCGCCTGAAGGCAGACAGAAATTAGGTGCCTTTTTCCTCTTCATTGTAACCACTACCACCATCTCATCCGCGCCACCTCTCTTCATCTGTCGGCGAGCATAAATCGCGAGCAGGCGGATGCGCGCGCCTCGAAAATTTCGCGGTGCCGACAATGTGGACAGCGCGCCGCTACTTGCCGCGCGATCGCGGGCGGGACGCCGTCGCGGCATGCTTCCCGCTAGTGTGCGCGTACTTTTCTCGGCTGTCACCAGCGTTGCAAGGGTTAAAGAAGCCGATCACGTTCGCGAATGGCGACGTCAACACCGATGAGGCGCGAGTCAAGAACACCGATAGTGTTCGAGAATAAAGACGGTGTGCAGGTAACACCGACGAGCAGTGAGCCAAGAAAGCCTAGCGCAAGCGTCTTCAACGCGTCCCGCCTCCTATGTCTTTGCGTTTTAAACAAAAATTTACTCGAGTAAACGTTACACCAAGTTTTGCTTCAAACTGTTCTTCCAGCACTCGCGTCGACGCCCGTTTCAACCGGGTCAGCATCGTGCGCACCACTGCTGCTCAGCATCCCATCAGTGTTCCCTTCTGGGGGATGGTTCATAGTTTTTTTTTTCGCTATATACTTTCTAAAAATGCATACGTGTCGGCGATTCTCAGAAATTGCATAGCCAACGTTTTAATGTAAGACAATCAAATCAGACATTTTATTACCGCAAGCAACGCATGTCTGTTAGTACGTTATGTCAAATTCCAATGGCAGATCGCAAACGCTGGGCCGGATTGTGAATGGAGCGCGCAGATCCGAGCGTGATTGCTATCACCAAATCTGCGATTGGAACGCGCCCGTCTCGACGGAAGCTTTTGGTGAGCGGAAATCTTGCGAGGGAGCACGAGAGGGTGCGAGGGAGTGCAGAGCGCTTTTCGGACATCCATAGGTGATTGGATGTAAGGCGGCCGCAGAGAATACGTCACTTGAACTTTCGGTAAAATTTGCCGATTTCGGTGGAGCGAGAATCCTTGCTCCACGGAGCAATCCGTGATATGCAGTTGCTCTCGATATGCCATTGGAACACACAAATCACGCTTTCAATCCGCCATTGGAATGTGATTGCTCCCGGAGCAATCACATTCCAGTAGAAAAACTTGATCTGAATCTGCCATTGGAATTCAACATTAGCAAATAACAAAAGTCGTCCACGAAACCTAAATATTTAAGAACGTTATCGATAAATGTATAAGAAGTTGCAGTATTCAGTAAACATCTACATTCAAAACATTCATAGACTATATCTGAAGTTTTATTTAACCTCTCCGAAATAGAAGAACTAAATGCGTAAGGTGTCTTGTAACTCTCATGCGTCTCGTGATTTTACAAACGAAGGCAACACTTTTGTCTTTCGTGAGCGAACAAGCTGAAAATCTTAATTTTTAATAAAACTCTGCCGCCCCGCCACGGTGGTCAAGTGGCTAAGGTACTCGGCTGCTGGCCTGCAAGACGCGTGATTGAACCCCGGCTGCGGCGGCTGCATTTCCGATGGAGGCGAAAA